AGGACTCAAATCGACCATGTCATCATCAGCAACCGCTGGCGAGGATACATTGAAGACTGTCGCTGTTACTTTTCAATACCAGTAGTCACGGACCATGCTTTGCTACGAGCCAGATTCTCACTACGCCTAGTGAACAATCGCAGAAATGCTACCAAAAACAAATACCCACAATACAGTGCCAGTGCCAGTGGTGGAGCCTATGAACCAAACCTGTTTGTTGTCCTATAGTTATCAAAGATGCATCGAGAGATGCCAGTTTGAACGCAGAATGGGGTCTGGGGAATAAAACAGTGATCAAGGCGAATGGTCTCGGGCTTCTACCTGCCTTTCGAAATGGAGTGTACAGTGAAAAAGAGTATTTTCTATGGGGGCAGATAAAAATACTACTTGCGTTTTTCTATAGGAGCGAGTTTCGTGTTTACAGAAATCGAGGGCGTTTATAGAACTGCAAGTCCAAGGCTCTATCGTAAATAGGGGTGTTCATGCATCTACTTAATTTTTTGCAACCTTGGTCTATCTAAATGATCTATCTTGACATTGATACTGAATCCCTCATTCAGATGATTCTTTTGCTCTTTCGTCCAAATAAGTAAAACTTTATATTTTTCGTTTACAGGTTCCAGATATCGTTCCCGCTCCCTAGTCTTGATTATGGATGATCAGATTTATCAGGAGTTTGACTACGTCCCCTATGTCGATGTCACAGATGGTGGTCCACCGGTTGCGGTTTCTAAACAAATAGAACAATCTAATTCTGTTTTCCTGCCTTTTTCGTCGGAATCAAATTCCGTAAGCATTTTCTTCACCAGTAATTTGTTTTCAGACGGCTACTCGAAATGCTCAGTATTTGAAAATAAAAAAGCTTCAGAGGCGGTTCTGTCACATGCTTACCACCCAGAAGTTTTGCGAATGGTTAAAGCATGAGTGGTTGTATTCAAGTGTCGATCGGTATGCTTTCGTTGAACAAATGTAACGATTCTACTTGTCAGGGAAATATTTCTTGGACCAAATGACTTTCAGTTGATTTTACGCGAACACTTCCCTAATTTGAAGACACGAAGAATGTGCCGGGGGCATTGGGCCATTGTGCGACGAATCATCGGACGGCCTCGACGGTTCAGTCCGACATTTCTGGCAGAGGAACGTGGGAGTGTACAAGGGAAACGTCGAAATTTACATTATTTACAACATTTGACTGCAAGTGGCTCCTTGGGTCCAATGGCCTCGGAACATTTGAGTTCTTTGCTTACATGTTTACCTGCTACGTCTCGCGTTCCACCACGCCTCCCCGTCGGAACCAAAGTATGTCTTAGGTGAGTTGTTCATAGACTGTTGTATGTGTATTCTAATGATTATCTTCCTTCCAGCCTCTACACACCTTTACAAGGCCTGTACTTAGGAGTTGTAGAGGATTCTTGCCCCGGAGATGGTCATTATACTGTTTGGGTGAATGAATTAGTTCTTTGCAATGGCCTCACCAATCCGGCGAATTCAAACGGTCATCAGGCGACCAAAAACTTTCGTGGATTTCACATAGTCCCCGATGAAGACGTCTTCCCGCTTCCGCACCAATCTCTGCCTTCTCACATTCCCATATCCGCTCTACGATATCACCTGAAGGAAAGTCTGATTGACGGCGCAAATTCACAAATGATGTTAGACTATCGCCTAAACAATGCTTATCGTCCAGGTAGACTGTGCGATACAACAAACACGCGTTCGGATGATGAAAATCGTAAGTTGCTACCATATTCTGAGTGATCGCATGCGTATCCTTTTCTTAGCAGCTATGTCTACTTCTGGTGGACCGTTACTCAGTGAATCTGTCTGCACGGCAGATTGCACATTGGGAGCTGGTGGCTCTACAGATCTAAGCGTGGAAGGACTTTTGATTTCAAACATGAAACCGGATGCTTCCTCTTCGATTCCTGATTGCCCCACTGATTCCACACAAAATTATCAGACGTTCACTCCTCAAAACAGCCCGAAGTTATTTGCCAGTCTCGTGAGTAATGAAATTCCCCTTGAAATGGTTTCTAAGTCTTTCATTATGATGTTCTGTCAGGTGCAAAAAACTACTGTAATGTTCTGTGGTGCAGAGTAGACTTATCTTCAGTCAAATCGTTTCCCATTTAATATTCAACATGGCTGTTGTTGTCCACAACCTGTGTTGTATGAATTTGTAGTAGTAGTAGTGCAATCCTTTTTCATATGCACAATCATTGCCATTTTGAAAACCACGGAATAAATAGCCGGAATGCGAAGTTTCATCATAATACCCTTATTTTAACGAGAATATCCCGAAAAAGCACAATTTTTCCTCGCTGCATTGTCCATAAAAACAATTTAGTACTGGTTGCATTTTCCATGTTGCATACCTCTGCATAATCTGTAAGAGATTTTCAGTAATGTCTTTATGTATACCATTTCGCTCCCTAAAGA